TGCATCCTCTCCCTGACCAAGCTAGTCTACCAGGCGTCAGCTATGCATTGGAGGCTGGCGGAGCAAGTGACTTCTCCCGTGGTCTCTGACTTCCTATGGGGGTACCAGGCCCTCCTCCAAGCATCTGCTTGCATGAACTTCATCCAAAGCCCCAATGACTCAGTGCAAAGGCCTGCTATAGCCTGGAGAATGAGAGGTGAAGACAGGAGCCAGAGGGTGAAGCCTGCAGGAAGGCATAGGGAAGAGATGCTGAGAAAGTTCGGGGCTGAAGAAAACGTGGACATTTTCTTCCCAATTCACTGCCCAGGCGGACTCTGAGGGGAATCTCAATGTTCTATAATTGGCACGGATCAGTGGTGGGCTTTCTTCGTAACCAGCGGCCTCTGCCTGATCCATGGGCTATGGACTGGTGGGGGAAGGCCGTGGGCTGGTGGGTCAGTAGGAATGGGATTCGAGGCCTGCCTGCCCCCTGCCCACTTGGCTCTGAGAACACATTCTCCCTGAGGCCCCCCAGCCCACGGCTGGTCCTGATGGTGGCAGCCAGGGAAACAGAAGGTTTGCTTGTTTGTGCCTGCTGTACCCTTCCCAGCCCCAGCCTGGGACCCCTCTCAGGGGCTCCTTTAGCTGCCAGGGCCTGGTGCTCTCGGTTGCCATGACGCCAGCCCGAGATGAGGCTCTAGAGAGTGGGGGGTGCAGGGAGGAAAGAGAGGTGAAGGCTGGAACTCTAGCTTCCCAGGCTCTGGTAACTATACTAGGGGTGCTCGGCCGGTAGAGGCAGGGCCATATTCCTGAGGCAGAGATAGCAACACACTGAGCCAGGCTGCCTGGTTGTTGTCTCAGGGGCCTTAGTGACGAGACCAAACTGGGGTTTTTCTCCGCAAGAATCTCTGATTTTTAGATAGTCTCACTATATAGTCCTGGCCAGTCTAGAACTTGTAATGTCATAGAGATCTTCCTGCCTCTGCCTCCCGAGTGCTGCTGGGGTTAAAGGTGTGTGCCAGCCATCATGCTGGGGTTAGGGATCCCTCTCCTGGGTTCTACTGTGAAGTCTCAAAAGGCTCTGGTTTCTGTCTCTACTTTGTCTCTTTGGGTGAACATGAGGCTGCAGATTCCCTGCACATTGTGCTCAGTGAGGATAAGACAGGGTCTTGACCTTGGAGGACCCTCCTGTCCCCGAGGGCTGCAGATAGGACCAGTTTCCTATGGACAGAGTTGCTCTTAGTTGGGAGATCAGCTGTCTTGATCAGTGGTTAAGAAAACAGGCTTTGGACCCAAACCAGCCAGGGTTTGCATACTGTCCTAGCTCCTCCTGATGGTTGGCCATGTGACCTTGGACAAGTTGCTAAACCTCCATGAGGCTCGGTGTTCTCCTCTGTGAAATGGGTATAATGAGCACATTTCCCCCTCAAACAACTCTTATATGGATATATCAAAATTCCTGGGTCACTTCACTGGGCAGAAGGTCTGGCTGCCAATCAGGTAGGGCTTTTATTTGTTTTCCCATTGGAACAGTGAGTGAGAAGAAAGGTATCATTCAGTGGATATGGGCAAGCTGGCAGACAGAAGCAGGACCAATCAAGAGGTAGGGGACACAGTGAGACAGGCTGTGTTCGGAATAATAAAACCACTGTGGTAGGCTGGCCTCCGAGGGTCCTGGGCTGCTGGGTATAAAGGGCCCCAAGGGAAGAGAGTCCTGTCACAGGCTGTGTGCAATTGCAGAGAAGGTGGGGACGTGGCATGTGTGGCCCTTACTGGCCCTAAGAGTGTAGCACCCATGACTGTCAACTTGGGTTTGTCCTAGCTCAAAAGACTGTGTGGAGAAGTCCAGAAACAGGAATGAGCAGGCAGCAGACTTGTGATCAGTGTGTGACTGGTGCTGCCCAGACTCCCACTGTCCTTTCTGTATGCTTGTAGCTGTTAGTCCTGCAAGAAGGTAGGTGGGTGGGTGAGTGGGCGGGAGTTGGGCCTATGTGCTGGTAGGGGCAGGGGCAGTCTGCCAAGGATTTTGCACCGCAGCCACAGCTGAGCAGATAACGTGTGTCCTCAGTTTCCTCATCTGTGAGACAGGAATGCAGCAGGACATAGTGTACTGTCTGGGAAGCACCCTAGTCCTGGTGGCAGCTGAGGCCTTAAACAGGCTCCCTGTGACCATGCAAAGGGTCTGGGCCCAGAGAGGATGGCCTGAGGTAGAGCTGCTGCCTCCTGGAACTCTCCAAGGCCGTCTAAGTTCCCCATTTTTTCTGCAGTAACTGACGCCTGGGCGGGGCGGGGCGGGAGGGGGGAGACCCTGGAAGCCAGGGGTCCCAGGGCATCTGCAGAGCCAGGCTGTATGGCCTGGAATGAAGCAGTGGGGGTTGAGCCTGAGGCCAGCAAGGCGCCTGAGGCAGGGGGCAGGAAGTGCTTGCTCTGCAGGCGGCTGGGCTGTGGGCAGAGGCATGACTGGGCCTCCCATCCTCCTCTCTGACCTTCTTCCCAGGCTGGTCCCTCCCTGGGGCCCTAACACACACTGAGCACTTTCCCACAGGCTGTCCACCACCACCCAACCCCCAGCACGCACACTCTGGGGTGGGGGGTGGCTGTTGCGGGGGCGGTGGGATCGGTTCGTTCTTTATCTGCTTGGCTCCCTTCCAGACAGATGTTTCATTTTATTTTGGACTTCCAGAAAATAGGCCATTTCTTTTCCATTGTGTCCCTGGGGAGGCCTCCTGGGGAGAGGACGGGTGTGGGGCCCTGGGGAGCTGAGTGGACAGTGACCTTCCTTCCTTCCTCAGCAGTGAGGAGGAATGGCGGGGCCTGAGGGTGAGGAATGGTTCCTACAGCCATGGCTCAGAAGCCACCTCTACCCGAGTGCCTGCGAGAGCCACAGGCAGGTCAGGAATGACAGGTCGGATGAGTACTGCAGAGAAAGGGGATGAGGACAGGTGAGGGGCGACGGGAAACAGAGGGGACAAGGACACAGAGACAGCCAGAGACTGCCCGGATGGCTGGCCCACCATCCTGAGTCGCCAGTGCCACTCCGAAACTCCTCAAGAGTCACTGTAGAGTAAGACTTCTCCAATACAACAAGCCGTAGGATGGAGGAGATGGGCTCTATTCCTTCCCAGCTTTCTCTTCAGCTCGTCATGGTATCCTCACCCTCCAGACCCTTCTCTAGCTCCCAGGATGGGGCTTCCTGACTGGTACTATAAGACCACACCCGCACCAGCTGGCTCTGGGAAGGCTAGAAGTGCCAAACTCTGTCAGGTCCACACTAGGCTGTTGTCACTTGCTCACTGTCCAGCCGATAGCCAAGGAGTCTGTCCCTGGCTGCAGATTCTGCCCCCCCCGCCGCCCCCACTCCCAGCCTAGAGCTGGCTGCCTCTTCCGAGCTGACTCATGGCATCCCAGTCGGGGTTAGGGAGACTTACTTCGCCTCCACCCCTATCCCGGCATTCCAAGTCCACAGGGCAAGGGTCTGGAGAGCTGCAGTGTCAGTCTGGAAAGTTCTTCCTTTCTCTGGTACTGAAGCTCAGAGAGAAAAAATAATAACCAGGTTCCTTCCCTCCCATCTTGCCATCTATCCAGGACCCATGAAGGGCCCCCGATTTGCAAGACAGGACAAGGCCAGGAAACAAGTTTGTTTCTTACTTTTGCCAGCAATTTAGCAGGCCACACCTCTGAATCTGTCACCGGTGTCCCCATATCTGGCACAGGTTAAGGAAAGTGGCTGTTCTGTGGAGAGGCAGACTGTGTGTAGCTTGACTCTAGATGTGGGCAGGTGCTGGAGTGGGACACTGGCAGGTGAGCGTTAGAGTCCATCCTGCTGAGATGGGACTTCTCATTTCCCGGCTGCACGCCTTAGTGTCGTCCCCCCCCCCCCCCCACACCCCCACCCCCCACACCCCCCCACCCCCCCCCCCCCCGCCTGTACAGTGAGCCTCACGAAGGGATTAGTTAGATGTTTCCTGGCTGCAGGGCATCGACATTCCAAGATCTGACCTTGTGACCCCAAGACGGGGCCTCCTGCTTGGGTGTCTTGTTTATTCGGAACTTGGTGGGACTGGAGCTGGTGACACCAAGAGCACCAAGTGCCCCTTTGAGCCCCAGCCGACTTTCTCCCCTCCCGTATTGTTGCGTTTCTGCCTGGCCTGCCCTGCGCCTCCATTCCGTTTGAAGCCAGCTCAGTGGCACCCCTTAAGCCTGTACATGGTCTCATTCTCATTCTTACAACGTGGCTTTATCTTCCTGTCATTTGCGCTCCCTCTGAAACTTGCCCCTTCGGCCCCTCCAACCTGCAGTCGCCAAGCCAGTCCCATCGACTCTCAGCTGCAGCAATCTCAAAGCCATCTGTTTCATCAGCCTCCACTCACTGCCCGCCCTCTGTCCAGCCTGCAGGGGGTGGCAGGCAGTGGAGAGGCCATGCTGCCACATTTCCGTCCCTACTGTCCTTTTGTCTGGTCTGAATTCCATGGCAAAGCAGTGTCCTCCTCAGTGTCCTTAGCTATAAAATGGGGATAATCATTCTCTACCCACAAGCTGTCAGAGGATGAAGGGAGAGAATGAACGCCAAATGCCACACAACAAACGAGGCGCCTAGCTCCTCTTTTGGTGACTGTGGTCCTGCGTACACACGTTCTCTATATGTCCTGTGTGGAGGGGGGGCGGGTACGTGGGTGACTGTTGTACATCAGTGCATCTCTGGTGGACACATGGTAAAGAACCCGGCTGTCGGGCTGTGCAGTGTGCACGTGTCCTGGGCACTGAAGAAGCTGTGTGCACGTGTGTCTTGTGTGGGCACACACATGGTACGTGCCTGCCTGAGGACTGGGCACACACGCGAATAGCTACACATGTGTTTTCTGTAGAAGAGCATGTGAGAGAGAGCGTAGGCAGCATCTGGGCTGTGTGCATGTGTTCACCGTGTGCAGGCCTCCCTCTGGCAGCAATGCAGCCCCCCCCTTCCCAGACTGCTTGTGTCGTGGGAGCCTCGGGACCCCGAGGGAGGAAAGCTGATGCTGGCGGATGTGGCCAAGATGGGCTGGATTTATTTAGATTAAGTTGGTGGGAAAGGAGTGGGGAATTGTATGTGCTTGTGAGCGGGAAGGCGGGGGCTCTGAGGATGACTCCCACGCATGCTTGCTCCCTTGGGCTTAGGGCCTCACTCTGATTCCCTAAGGGGTGCCTCGGATCTGTTGTGAGAAGCTGAGTCAACCCCCTGTCTGGACCTGGCCTGAACAGGGGCAATGCTGAGGGCTTCCTGACCACAGCAAGGAGTAGAAGTGGAAGATTTTCTCCGCTGTAGGGGACTCACTGGACAGGATAGCATGGTAGGGAAGGGATGCCTGCCTCTTGGTGTGGTGCCCATGGTGACCTAGGTGACTCTTTTCTGGGGCACAGTTCCCTATCTCAAAGAAAGGGAGTTATCAGATACTTGCCATCAGTTGGCTGCCTGGTCCTTCCTGGGGCTGCTCAGAACATAACAGCTTCCAGAAGCACAAAATGTTCCATAAGGCGTTGAATGGAAAGCTAGGACTGTCAGAGTCATTGAGATGCCCAGGAGGTGGTGCTGGGCCCCTGAGCCCCGCTCTGATGAGTCCTCGACCGGTGGCTTGCTGTCCACGCCACCCCAGAAACACCCCAGGTTCATTTGGTGGGAAGTCACCTGAAAAAGCATCTAACTCCCAGTGGTACAGAGGAGGAAACTGAGGCCATCTAGACAGTGTGTCGGAATCTACACACTGAGTCAGTGGGATGACATATGTCATGGATTCCCAGGTACTATGGCCTCAAACATGTCATCTGCATTCCTGAGCAGTCATTACTTCCTCAGGTGGCACCATTGAGAATGATGGTGGCCAGAACCTTCTCTTTGAGGAGTCAAAAAGGTAGAACTTTAGAATAGTGTCAACTCTTTGAGATGACCATCACAGAGCCAGATGGTGGTGCACACTTTTAATCCCAGCATTGATGAGACAGGCAGGCAGGTCTCTGAGTTCAAGGCCAGCCTGGTCTACAGAGCTAGTTCCAGAATGGCCAGGGCTATACAGAGAGACCCTGTTTAAGAAAAAAAAAAAAAAGACTATCACCACCTCTCTGAATGGCTATGCAAATGAGTCCCGGAGCAGACAGGAGATCCAGTTATTGTCACAGCGGCTTCAAGGGTCTGGTGAGGGGTGCTTCTTTCAGAGAGAATCAAGTCAGTTCAATGATGGCACTGCCTTGCATTCTCCCCCTGGAAGCTCATTTGCCTGGTCTGTCTTGGCCGCAACTGGAACCCACTTTTGTGTCTATGTGGCCCGGAAGTGATTCTGGGCTTCTCTGGCTCTCTTCTTCCCACGTGAGGAGGCTCCTTTGCAGCTTAGTCTTTCTTTAGCTCCCCCAGGCATTTCCCTGCAGGAAGAGGGTCCGAGAAGAGAAGATGAATGTTAACAAAGTATCAGGGTTGGGGACCGCATGCCATGAGTTTCCAGCCTACATGGTCAGCACAGCTTACCAGGCCAGCCTCCTTGCAGTGAGTGACCTCCCATCTCCTGGCCAGCAGGCCAAATTCCTCCTTTAGAATAATAAACAGTGTGGCCAGCCCAGGAGGCTGGGAGAGGAGGGGAAGAAGGCTAGGATGAACCCTCCCCCAGCCTGGGCTGCTAATGATTTTCTTTGGCCCACATCTCTGGCAGGAAGTGGGGAGCCAGAGGCACCCGCCGAGGGGAAGATGGGCTTCTGTAGGGGGCCTGTTGGCTCCGCCTGGGTGCCCGATGCTGTCTGTGCTGCCCAAGGAGGCCTGGTGTCCAGCTGGAGGGGCCAGCACTGGAGGGATGTGAGGGGCAGGACTGAGAAGGGGGCATCAGGAAGGTTTTGACCAGTAATAATTCAGAGAGGGGAGACGCAGGGCAGGGGCGGGGCAGGAGGGACGCTCAGGCAGGCTGTCTGGAGGTAGGGTAAAGGAGGAAAAGCGGTCTGCAGAGCAAGTTTGTGCAGATTGCTTCTTAAGGCAGTGAGCGGGGCTGGGGTGGGACTTTGGAGCTGGGGTGGGACTTGCCCGAGTCTCATGCACCATGTGTGACTATAGCCCTCACTGGTGGGACATTCATCAGCACCTTGCTGGCTGGAGACTCTGCCCACAAACATGGCCCTGGCACAAGAGATTGCAATGGTGTTCATGAGACCTGACTCTTCAGCCCTGGGTAGGAAACTGGAAAGGGCAACAGGGTGGAGTGGAGATAAACTGGGCCAGGATGGGCAGCCCCTGGATCTCAGGATGCTCCTTGTTGCCTGTCACATGATTACCTCCCATGTTTCTCCATCTGCAACTCTGACCATACCTGGCTATTGGTGACTGTTTGTTGGTGAAGGGTAGGACCAATCAATAACTCACGGGTTACAATGTGTAGGGTAGGACCAACCAAAGACTCATGCATTACAATGTGTAAGGACCAATCAAAGACTCACGTGTTACAATGTGTCTGTCTGCACCCTTTTTCTCAAACCTCTTCTCTAACAGGCTTTGTTAAGGAACCTTGGGTAAATCTTCACTCCTCAGAGCCTCAGTTTCCCCTTATGGATGTTGAAGGGTTGGCTTTAGTGGCCTCCAAGGACCTTCAAAACCTGATGAATTAGATGGGGCTGAGAACCTGGTTCCTCTCTCCCGGGCCTCCTGTGCTGCTCCGTGCTGAGTAGGGGGGCCAGCCCACTCCCACATTCCTTAGTCCTGACCCCCTCCCCCTCCCCACTTCCCTTCCCACAGACTCCCGTTTCCTGTTGTGCTTGTGGAGGGAGCTGTGGGAGTTCTCCAGGCCCTGGCTCACCCCCCCCCCCCCGCCTGCTCCTCCAGGCCTTTCATCACACTTTCCCAAATATTTGTCCTGGCAGATAAGTGCCTGGTATTGGAACTGTCACTCGGAGGACAGGCTGACAGAGCTGGCAGTCCCCTAGCTGTCCCGGGGAACATATAGGGGAACTAAGGTCCATAGGCAAAGGACTCAGCCAAGGTCTCACAAGAGTTGGAAACAGAAGGGAGAGGGCTTGGGAACTTGGATGTCTTCACAGCCTTGAGACATGATGTTGGACACATAAGCAGGATTGACTAGGCAGGAACCAGGTCTGTGGTGGGCCTGGCACTTCCATTGCCCACTCTGGGCTCTGATCTCTGTTTAGTTTTGCAGGACACCATGGGGCTTCCAGGTATGATGCCTGCTTCAGTCCTCAAAGGTAAGTAGACTAGGGACAAGGACGAGGGCCCCAGGGATGCCCTTGGGAGCTGACGGTGGTGATACTTGGTAGCACTAAGACTTGAGAATCCTGAGCCTCAGTTTCCCTGTATTTGGAGATGGTCTATGGAGGACTTCTTCAATTGCCCACCTATTAACTCTCTTTAGATCCAGCCAGTAGATCCCCCCTTGTCCAGAACCACCAACTCAGGTTCCCATCCTTTTTCAGTCCAGTTGGATAGCTGCCGTAAGCTCTCCAAGGTCTGGGCAAATGCCCAGACAATCAGTGATGAGCCAATGGCCTGCCCTAATGACCGTGGTTTGATGGCCCCGCTGACTGGCTGCACCTGTCCCTATTTTCATCACCAGGGGATATGAGGGTGTAGCTTTTAAAACCCTCCCTGTGGACACTGATGTATAGTGCTGTATAGCTGCTTCTCCCAGGCCTTCCTCAGGGGATGTCATGGGGGAAGTCACCAATCATCTGACATATGTATCTTAACCCCCACCCCCACCCCATCCTTCAAGCTCCCGGGGCCTCAGCATCTCATTGAACAGCTACAGAGCAGAGGCCTAGGGAGTGACCTGGGTGGCAATGCAGGAACTGGAGGCCTGGGGATTGCTTCCACAGGATTTCCTGCCCCCTTCTCCTGATTGCTGCCTACACATAGTAGCTCAAGGACTTAGAGTTCAGAGTCAATGAGGCAGGGACCTAGGACAGGAGCCTTTGAAGGCCTGACGGTGGTCAAGCAGCCTGTGTTGAATGGGAAGATGTGTTCTTTAAGGACTTGGGAGCTGTGCAGCAGGCCTCCAGGACAGCTCTGGGGGAGGGGCCATGTTCTCTTTGCCCTGACATGTGACCCTTCCTGCCCCAAAGGCCAGTTGTTCCTGTCCCTGCTGTGGCTGCTGGGACCACAGGCCTGCCAAGGCCTAGTCATCACGCCTCCTGGGCCAGAGTTCATCCTCAACATCTCCAGCTCCTTTGTCCTGACCTGCTCGGGTTCAGCTCCGGTGATATGGGAACAGATGCCCTGGCAAGAAGTGTCCACGAATCAGGATGGCACCTTCTCCAGTGTGCTGACACTGGCTAACGTCACAGGGGGAGACACCGGAGAATACTTTTGTGCCTACAACGACTCCCTAGGGCCAGAGCTCAGTGAGCGGAAGCGCATCTATATCTTCGTGCCAGGTAAGGACCCTAGCCTGTGTGCCTACTCCCTTGCCCTCGCCTGCACAGCACATAGTACGAAAGAAAGCTTGAAGGGGACCTCATGGACACCGTGAGATGCAGCTGGAAGACACAGGAAAAGAGCAGCACCCGGCCTTGCTCAGTCCAGCAGCCCTGTCTTTCTACCCGCCTTCTGGTCTGCTCTCTCTTAGCCACCTCCCACTCTCGCCTCCCAAGAATTCTGCATTCTCGGCTAGTCCTAACCTGTTCCTTTAGGCCCTCGTGTCCCACTGCCCTGTTCTCTGAGCTCCAGGAGCAGCTGCTCTTTAATTTATGACTCTTCACCCCCTCACTCCAACTCCAGTACTGTCACCATTAAACGAAGAGCAGGAAACGTCCCCCGAGAACGTCGTACGTAGTCCCCTTGTGCTACTACAACAGGAGACCCCGCACTATAATGAGCAGAATTGAGCAGTACACAGTTCTGGAGGCAGGGGCCAGCCTCTGGCAAGAACTCTTTTCCTTTACCTCTGAGGTAGCATCTACTTGTCATACGGCCAAAGATGACCTCGAGCCTCGGATACTCTACCACTCTACCACATGCGCGAACTATCACACCTCTTTCATGCTCGCTAAGAAAGCAGTCTGCCAAATGAGCCACATCCTGGGCCCAGCCACAGGCTTCCTGCAACTTTATACCACGGAAAAGGCAGAAGGGCAAGAGGGTGCGGGAAGAGTGAGGGGGCTGAACTTTTACTCCTGTAATGGCATCAGTCTATGAAGCCTTCAAGGTTAATCACTCCCCTGTTTTTCTTTTTGGTGCTGGGGACTGAAACCAGGGTCGTGCATCCTAGGCAAGGACTTTAACACTGAACTACATCCCCAGGCCTCTATATTGTGATTATTTTTAGTTCATTATTTATTTTTGCTTGTGTGTATGTGAATGCACCCTGGGGCACCACCCACAGAGGGGCACCTTCCCATAGCAATCGCTAATGTGATTGAGACATTGAGACAATGTGATGGAGACATCCTCTCAATTGAGGTCCTTCTTCCCAGGTGACTCTAGCTTATGTCAAGTTTGCAAATCACTAACCAGGACATTCATTCCTTGGCTCTGCCCCTGACAGACCCCACCATGGGCTTCCTCCCTGTGGACTCCGAGGACCTATTCATTTTTGTTACGGATGTGAGTGAGACGACAATTCCGTGCCGAGTGACAGACCCCCAGCTGGAGGTGACACTGCATGAGAAGAAAGTGGATATCCCCCTACAAGTACCCTACGACCACCAGCGTGGTTTCATTGGCACTTTTGAGGACAAGACTTACATCTGCAAAACCACCATTGGGGACAGGGAAGTGGACTCTGATACCTTCTATATCTACAGCCTCCAGGGTGAGCTCCCCTTCCTGGCCCTCAGTTTACTAAGTGCACGGCCCCATATCTTACTGGATTCTCCTGCAGCTTTGGGAGAAAGCTCTGAGCCTCAGTTACCCAAGGAAACTGAGGCTCAGAGAAAGGATGGAGCTGGTCCACAGTCATAGTTCAGTAAGGGTTGGTCTGGGCTTCGTAAGGTGGGGATAAAGGCACAGGCTTGGAGCCAGCTGGGTTTGGGAACCCAGCTTGGCCACTTCCAATTTGGACCACTCTGCACAGACACCCAGATCCCAAGAACCAGATTCCCTCACCTCCCATAAGATGAGGGTGGCTATGACTGCCCTCCTCCCAGATTTTGGGGAAGGTAAAATAAAAGAGATTCAGATGCCCAACGTGTAATAAGTGCTTGTGGTAAATGTCTCTGCACTTAGATTCCCAGAGAATTGTGGTTTCCAAGATGGCTAGCCCATGGTCAGCTCCATGAGGAAAGATATTCTGTCTGTGGTGTTCACTCCTGTAGTCCCAGTGTCTAGAACAGTGCTTATATATAGTAGCATTTAATATTATCTATAGAACCAATGAATGAATCTTTCACAATAGCCAACCCACTCCCATTCCCCAAGCCTAGTGCTGGTGGCTGGTGATGACCTCCTTGGTCCTAATCCAGTCTCCTGTCCCCACTCCAGTGTCATCCATCAATGTCTCTGTGAATGCAGTACAGACTGTGGTCCGCCAGGGTGAGAGCATCACCATCCAGTGTATCGTAATGGGAAACGATGTGGTCAACTTCCAGTGGACGTACCCCCGCATGAAGGTAATGCTGGGCGAGGCTCGGAAGGCAGGGTAGACATCTCAGCTGGCGCCAGCTTCTGATTTGGGAACTTGGCCTTGCAGAGTGGGCGGCTGGTGGAGCCGGTGACAGACTACCTATTTGGGGTGTCCTCCCGAATTGGCTCCATCCTGCACATCCCCACTGCTGAGCTGAGTGACTCGGGGACCTATACTTGCAATGTGTCGGTGAGCGTGAATGACCATGGAGATGAGAAGGCCATCAACATCACTGTGATTGGTGGGTGCCTGGGACTCAGCCCTCTACCCCACCCTGTGGCACAGACTCTGGTGTCTGTGTCAGTGTTAGACTCAAAGTGTAGCATCAGGCCCAGACTTAACTCTAGGTCCAGCCTAGCCAGACTCCTAGTTCATTGTCAACCCCTCAGAGCAGGCCTTGGCAGTCCCATTGTCAAAGTCAACCCCTGTACTAGTTTGAAGTTCCGGTGTACCCCGTGTGTAGTATAGAGACAGAACAGAAAGCTCCAACTCCATGCCCAACCTTAGCACCTACCCTGATACCATCAGCACCAAATTCCACCCCTGCTTCAGTTCCAGTCCAAGCTTGACCTCCTGATCTGCTGCCTGAAGAAGCTCTGACCCTAGAAGGCGCTTCTCTGGGGGTACAGGCCTCCAGGAACACTCCGCTAGCAAGACCCACACCCTCCCTGGTGTCTGGCATAGCTCCGCCCACAGGGCGGTCCCTGACTGTTGTATACCTTCACAGAGAGTGGCTATGTGAGACTGCTGGGGACCCTGGGTGACGTGCAAATTGCTGAGTTGCACCGGAGCCGGACATTGCAGGTGGTGTTCGAGGCTTATCCGCCACCCACTGTCCTGTGGCTCAAGGACAACCGGACCTTGGGTGACTCCAGCGCCGGTGAGATGGTTCTGTCTACTCGCAACGTGTCTGAGACCCGGTGAGCACCAGCTAGCCCACCTGTTTTGGAAACTTCAAAGCTGCCAGGCATCTCAGGGTCTTCAGACACCAACAAACATAGGTCCTCTTTGTCTGAGAGTCTGCTGTGTGCTAGGCACATGCCAGCTGCCAGGGATGCTGCAGGACCAGTGTTGTTAAAATGTTTAGGTTTATCCAGTAAGGAGACACAGACTGCGGCTCAACGATCCCACGTGGAGTTTATTGGTGGACGGGGAGGGAAAAGGGGGTGAGAGGTAACCAACCCGTGCAGAGCAGAGAGAGAGAGAGAGAGATAAGAGAGAGACAGAGTAAGAGGAAGAGAGGAAGAGAGCAAGAGAGGAAGAGAGTAAGAGAGAGTAAACGGGCAGGGGTTAGTCCTTTAAAGGGGTCCTTTGCACCTGCCTGGTTCTCACGGAACTCTGGGCTGGCCAGAGTGTTGCCTGAACCTTTCAACCAGAGCAAGCCACTCTGCCCCTCCTGGAGGGGGAAGCAGACGCTGGTGGGTTGGCCACTTAGGGGATTAGTTATCTTTGTGATAAGTAGAGCCGGCAGGCGGCAGCCAAAAGCAAAAAGACTGGACGGGAAGCAGGCATCCCTGAGGCTAGAGATCAGCAGATTGACAAGTCTGTGCCCCACTGAAGGGGGTGAGCTGTGGAGAGAGGGACACGCTGGTCCTTCCCAAGCCTTCCTTCTAGCTTAGTGGAACTGCGTGTAGGTGGGGATTCAGGACACTGGGTGTGAATCATGGCTCTGCTGTCATCTCCTACATGACCTTGGCAAGCGTATCCCTTCCCTCAGCATACTATAGGAAGGTGAGGATGCTTTAGGTTCCTGCAGTTCTGACTGAAGTCTCCTGGCCTGACCTACCCCATAGGTACGTGTCAGAATTGACCTTGGTGCGTGTGAAGGTGGCAGAAGCTGGCTGCTACACTATGCGGGCCTTCCATGAGGATGCAGAGGCCCAGCTCTCCTTCAAGCTGCAGGTCAATGGTAAGCTTCACCTGCCTTTCCTGCTATCTCCTCCTCCTCCTGCCCCCCATTCAGTCACCAAGGAGGCTACATTCTAGACAGCTGATCTGGTGTGTCCCCTCTCCGGGCCTCAGTTTCCCCAGCTGCAAAGGATGACCAGCAGATTGTGTTGGTGTTCCCTCAAATCTGAGCCATTGACGTACCAACCCCACAATTTTACTTCTCCTGTACAACTCATACTTTGCTGAGCAATTTCAATATGGCAGTATTTTCAGAGTTCTACCTTTTACAGTTTGCATCCTAGTGGGGGAAGACAAATAGTAAAGGAGGAATTCCCAGCAACACCAAAAAGGTTAGAAGACAAGAAGTAACTGTAGGGGATGGGGAGGAGGGACACACACACATACAGAGAGAGAGAGAGAGAGAGAGAGAGAGAGAGAGAGAGAGAGAGAGAGAGAAGAGAGAGAAAGAGACTGACAGTTAGGGTTCTAGTTTTCAGTATGGTGATAAGGGTTGGCTTCATTCTGGAGGTGACAATTGTGGGAAGACTTCAAGAAGGGAGGACATTAGGCAGGTGAATATTTGGAGAAGGGCACGCCAGGTCATGCATCTCCCCTTGTCACATTGCCAGAGAAATAGCAGGAAGGGCGCTGGCATATATGGAGGGCCGTGAGGTCAGGGCAGAAGCACAGGAAGGAAGCAGGGGGTAGTTGGCTGAGTGCTTGTGGGCCTCATACAGTTTTGGCTTCTATTGTGACTGAAATGAAGACGACAGAAATGACACGATAAAGACTTAATGCTTTGTCAATTAGCTTTCTAAAAATAAGTCTATTTTGAAAGACAGAATTTAGAATCTCAGTTGTAGATGGAAACTCAGTGTCATATGCCACAAATGTAAAACAACCGCTAAAATAAATTCAGAGAAAACAAAACAACCCTGTCAAAGGTTCTGGGCTCCAGGCCTCTTCTCTCTTTGTTAAGGGAAGAGACAGTCTCAGGGTGATGTTAAAGGCAGGCTCTGAGCCTTGCCCTTTGAAGTACGGGGAGGAACCTGTCACTTTTCACACTGTGGCTCCTGGTGTCTGATGTTCCCCTGCAGTCCCCTTCCTGGGGGTGGGGATGAGGGTGGCTCTGGAACATGTCCCCCTGAGGTCTGTTCTGACCACCCCACTTCCTCACCCTGTGCTGCTCTGTCTGTTCAGTCCCTGTCCGTGTGCTGGAGCTGAGCGAGAGCCACCCTGCCAATGGCGAGCAGACAATCCGCTGTCGTGGCCGGGGCATGCCTCAGCCAAATGTCACCTGGTCTACCTGCAGAGACCTCAAACGGTGAGCACACCTGAGCCCCAGCCTCCCAGAGTACCCACAGCTGCCTAGAATGGCCCAGTGTAGGCTACCCTAGACCAACCCCCCCCCCTCCAGGCCCAGGCCACATCTTAGACCAGCCCTCTGTCTTCCTGAAGATACTGTGCATAACCTAACTTGCTCCTTTTCTTACCTTGACCCTGAGCCATCCTCAACCCAGAAGGCACAGGGTCTGGCCCCCAGAGGGACCTAATTCCTCCAGTAGTTGTTCTATACCTTTGATCAGAGCTGAGTGTAGTAGATGGAGTCGGGTTGACTTCAGGGTTTGCCTGACACACTGGATAACCTTGAGGGTCAAATAAGTGAATTTTGCCATTTAGGAATCTCAGTTCTGGAGTAGGAGCTCCCCCTGCTGGTCCATTGAGACAACACAGTAAGAACCTGCTTAAGGAACAAGCAGTCATAGAAATTAAGCATGTTTTCTTTCTTTCTTTTTTTACTTCTTTATACCATCACTGGATGATACAGCCTACTTTGAGCCTTAGTTTCCCCACATGCAGAGGGAGAATGAAAAGAGGCTGTACGCCAATCTCCTTGTGTCTCCTGGCAGGTGTCCACGGAAGCTGTCACCCACACCCTTGGGGAACAGTTCCAAGGAGGAGAACCAGCTAGAGACTAATGTGACTTTCTGGGAGGAAGAACAGGAATATGAGGTGGTGAGCACGCTGCGCCTGCGTCACGTGGACCAGCCATTGTCAGTACGCTGTATGCTGCAGAACTCAATGGGCAGAGATTCGCAGGAGGTCACCGTGGTACCACATTGTGAGTGCCCCAGCCTTGGGTGGCTCTGATGCCCTCCCGTTCCTTCCTTGATCCTGCTGTACCGAGCCTGCATGCCCAGAGTGGACCAAGCGGGCATGCTCACAAGCCTGTAGTAACATTGCAAACCCCACCAGGCTGTGTCCCCTTGCACATACACAGTATGTGACGTGGACACAGGTGCACAAACATAAAAAGCATCGTCTCCTGTGTGGAAAATGAACTGATGTGCATGATGCATGCTGTAAACTCTGAACATGAGGAGGCTGGTCTTGGGACTCTGGTGTGTACACTCTTCGTGTGCACATGCAATCTGTGCTGGGGATGCTTAATGCCCTGAGTACACACGTGTTAGCATGTGCTCAAGCACTCACAATGCTGTCCATGTGTATAAAACTGCAGGATATATTTTTGCAAGCTATGTGTATAAACCTTCCCAAATGCAAGACTTGCATGTAAGTCTACAAAATGAATGTCTATCTGCATGTACATGTGGGAGCACAAGCCCCATCCATGTGTATAAATCATGCACATACAGTTCCTGTGCACATGTGAAAACTAGCATGGTGCATATCTGTACTCACATAAGTGCAACATATAAAACGTAAAAAGGCACTAAGCACAACTCTGCACACATACATCTCCATACAATATGTGAACCTTAGCAGGTAACATATATGTATAACTATTGTACATATGAGCAGTATTTGCCAGGGTCCAGATATGTATACATGTCTCTCTCTCTCATCCTTGCCTGCACATGTGTGTGCATGCACCTATTTCCTACTCAGTAAGTTATGGGACCCAAACTCACGAGGGTACAGAGGCCAATGGGCCAGTCCAGAGGGAGGAGGCAGCCAAGGGAGTGAATCACTACTTCCAGGGAGCAGCCCTTAGAGAGAAGAAGCCCTATGCTAACCTTGGGGTTGAAGAAATATCCCAGGAAAATATAAGCTTTACATCAAATACTGAAAGATGACTAGGTGTTAGCCTGTGAAGGCATGGTGTTGCAGTGAAGGCCTGTGTAAAAACCAAACTGTCTGGAAGGCAAATTGTATGTGGATTTGGGGCGGGGTGGGGGGAGTAATAGGGCAGGAAGTGGTAAGGAGTGAGGCTACAGGATACAGAAGTCAGAGAAATCAGAGCTTCAAAAGACATTTTGTACATACACAGACAGACAGACAGACGCACGCACACACGCATGCACGCACACACACACGTGAGCGCACACACACACGCATGCACACACACACGCGCGTGCACACACACAGGCTGCCCCACACAGTCTTGTACATGTTTGTCTGTGTACATACCTGTCACCTGCCTTTAGAATATGAGTGAGCTTTTAAATATCCTTATTGGGGCTGGAGAGACGCCTCAGAGCTTAAGTGCGCTGGCTGCTCTCCCAAAGGACCCGAGTTCCATTCCCAGCACCCATGTCAGGGGGCCCACGACCTCCTGTAGCTCCAGATCCCATGGATTTAATGCCTTCTTCTGGCTTCCCTCAGCATGCACACACACGTCATTCGGGCGTACAACTGCACACATATGCACGAACATGGAAATGAAATAAATATTTAAAATAAAGTGCCCTTATTTCCCCCATGCTCTCTTATAGGCACACATACCCCTGAGCAAGTGGGCACAGCAGAGTGTGCGCATGCAGCCTGCCATGTAGACCCACTCTGGGCCTGAGTAAAGGCAGGATGAAAGTCTCTGGTCAGGACACTGTGTACTGTTACACAGAGACCTGGGATGACTCTGACGGTCCCTGGAGGGTGCAGGCTCCCTCTGCAAGACCAGGGTGTGGGGCTGTTGGGAAGAGAGGACAGAGATGTCAGGCAGTGACCCTAAGAAGGAAAGAATGTGGAGTAATTCGGAGGAAGGCTCCCCGGGGAACAGAGGAGGGCAGGAAGGAGACGTAGGAGGAAGACGCAAGTTCCCAGAAGACAGCAGCTATTGCTAATCAGGGAAGGACAGGGGCTGGGGCTTCAGCCAGGCTGACTGGGTAGCAGGGAGGCTGGGTCCTTGGGCTAGAGAAGACTCAGGGCTCAGGGGGCCCAGGGAGACCTGCATGTTCACCTCAGGGAGACCTGCATGTTCACCTCAGGGAGACCTGCATGTTCACCTCAGGGAGACCTGCATGTTCGCCTCAGGGAGACCTGCATGTTCACCTCAGGGAGACCTGCATGTTCACCTCAGGGAGACCTGCATGTTCGCCTCAGGGAGACCTGCATGTTCGCCTCAGGGAGACCTGCATATTCACCTCAGGGAGACCTGCATGTTCACCTCAGGGAGACCTGCATGTTCACCTCAGGGAGACCTGCATATTCACCTCAGGGAGACCTGCATGTTCGCCTCAGGGAGACCTGCATGTTCACCTCAGGGTGCTGGGCGGTGCACTCAGACTGCCACACCACACACCAGCTGGTCCCCAGGGTCGAACAGAAGCCTTTCTGATACAGATTATTCAGGTCACTGAAGTTCAAAGTCAGCTCCTTCAGTCAGTCACCCAGTGAGTGCCTCGGCCATTTGGTTAAAAGTGGCAGTTAAGACAGCCCAACAGGGCCTGGGCTCAGAAGAGCGGAGGGCATGGCCCGGTCCTCAGGGCGCTGAACGCAGGCAGGACGACTCCAGTGATCTGTGATGCCCACAGCGAGACGGGAGAGCAGCTGCCAGTCGCTGTTTGCTTATGGCTGGTCTTTTCTCTGTGTCCAGCCCTGCCCTTCAAAGTGGTGGTGATCTCAGCCATCCTGGCCTTGGTGGTCCTCACCGTCGTCTCTCTCATCATCCTCATCATGCTGTGGCAGAAGGTAAGCACCTCTAGCCCATAGGTGCAACGCAGCACCCGTATTTCCTCATGGTCTCCACTGAATGGCACACAATCTGGCGTATGTGCAGGGCCCAACGTGGAGCTCAGCTGGGAGCTGACTCAGAGCAACACCGGGTCCCCATCTCCCTCCACCCGCAGCGGGCTGGGCCGACCTGGGCCTGGTGCAAGTGGTCCAGGATGCCTGGCCCCTGCTCTTTCCCCTGCCCAAGTCCTTCCTATTCAACCCAGTCGTGGGACAGTGACACCTTGTGGGTGGACTGTCCGGGCCCCATGATTCTTCCAGCTCTTACCCACAGAGACTCCTATGAGTCACTAGAATGCAATCTGACCCCACAAATCTAAAGTTTCAATGCTCTATTCTGACATTTTCCCACTTGGTAGCTCCAAATGCTTATGATTCCTAACAGACTTGACATGGGGAGGGGCCACCCACATTTGACATCTGTCCTATCCTATGTTGTCACTTCCTGGGTAACCTGCCCTTCCCATCCGAGGAGTAACTGGGGCTCAGAGAGAAGCTGATGAAGCAGTTCTAGTGAGTGAGGACCACCCTGTCAGCTGGTCTCCCGAGGCTCTCAGGGTTTCTCGGCTACACCTTCCACTGCTGGAGCCCCTTAGCTACCTCTGAGCTCACAGAGACCTTGGTTTTGCTGGTCACTCGTTATATCACTTCAAATATGTCCCTGCCCTCTCTGGGTCTCAGAGTCTCCTGTCCCATCTTCCCTAAGGGCTGAACCTGATAGGCTCAAGGCCAAAGGCGCCCTCTGACCAGCCGGCTCACCTGTTGGTCTTGCCCTGCAGAAGCCACGCTATGAGATCCGATGGAAGGTGATCGAGTCTGTGAGCTCTGATGGTCATGAATACATCTACGTGGACCCTGTGCAGTTGCCTTATGACTCGACCTGGGAGCTGCCCCGGGACCAGCTTGTGCTCGGTCAGTCCTAAGAGATACTTGGTGCCGGTGGGGACCCTGAGATCTGTTCCCAGCATGGCTGCTACTAGCAGAGGCCCGGCCAGAGCTGATACCTTGCCTTCATTGGCTCTTAGTATTCTTTCTATATGGTGAAGACAGGATGATCCCTGATAGCACGGAAGCCCTAGGAACCCAAGACTGACACATGGGTTTCCTCCAGGCCAAAGAGGAAGTGCTGGAGATAGTCTGGGGAGTCTGAGGCGGGTGCGGGGGAGTTGTGATTCCCTGAGGAGGCAAGAGGTCTTCTAGGGACTCCGGGGAGGCAGGCAGCAGGGAGATGAGACTCAAAGCATGGGAGCTCCCTGAGGGGGAGCACAGTGAGGTGGTAGGGGGGATGTAGAAGATGATCTGAGAGAATAGGCCCCAATCTGAGCGGGAAGATGAGGCAAGGCTTCCAGTTCCCGGGAGCTGAGGGTTTCTGTTCATTCTAGGACGCACTCTAGGCTCTGGGGCCTTCGGACAGGTGGTGGAGGCCACGGCTCACGGCCTGAGCCACTCACAGGCCACCATGAAAGTGGCCGTCAAGATGCTGAAATGTGAGTCTTGAAATGTGAGCCAGCCCACCCCTTCCTCACACCCAGGCCCCACTCCGCCTCACCCTCCCTGTACATTTGGTTTCTTCTGAAGGGCCTGGTCCTGAATTTGTGGGACGGAAAGGCTCCTTCCTCACTGTGACCTCTTCGGATCCCTCTTCCTTTTCTCCCCTCCTCCCACCTTCTCCCTGCTCCAATGGGGTCCTCGTCGTCACCCTAGGACACTAGTCCTACAACAAGGAGGGACAGAGGAGCCAGATTAGGCGCTGGTAGGGCCTCTACACTGCCTCGCTGAGTCCCTCTCCCTCCTCAGCGACAGCCCGGAGCAGTGAGAAGCAAGCCCTTATGTCGGAGCTGAAGATCATGAGTCACCTGGGACCCCACCTGAACGTTGTCAACCTGCTGGGAGCCTGTACCAAAGGAGGTACGCAAACCATGCCCCGGGAGACTCTGGGACTCCACTTTCCGGCTGTCACTCAGCCCACCAACAAAGGACACCCTTTCTGGAGTGTCCACACACCTGCTGCCCAGCACTTTACTTCACCGTCCAGACAGGCTCAGTTTTAGGAGCTCAGAATCATGATACCTTTGTGGTAGAGAGATTCCTCGGGCTACTAGATCCCGAGTCTCTCCAGACATAATTTTTTTCTTCAGGTGATTAAATTTTATGTGAGTGGGTGTTTGCCTGTATGTCTGTGTGTGTGTGTGCCTGGTGCCTGAGGAGGCCAGAAGAGGGCATCGGATCCTTTGGAACTGGAGTTACAGACGGTTGTGAGCCATCATGTAGGTGCTGGGTATCAAACCAGCATCCTCTGTGAGAGCAACAAGTGCTCTTAGCCGATGAGCATCTCTCCAAACTCCATTTTTGTGTTGTCACAATACACTTTGAAAACCATGAGAAAGTAACAGCTCCTACAACTCAGAGACAGCAGAGCCCATCCGCGCGCTAGCCAGGAGCTGGGTTTTGTTCACATGGGTGTTAAAAGTCACACTGTGTTTATTTGAGGGTTTGGTTACCTATTGGGTTGCCGATGTAGTAATAATAGTGAAGTTAGTGCCATTTGCAGCTGCCTGTTGTGAGATCTGGGATTTTCCTCGGTATTGTGTAATCGGTCTAAATACGGAAGTACATTGCACACAGACTGTTGTCCGCGCCTGCAATGAACATATTTCAAAAGTGTTGTTTTCATCTGTTGGATGGCTTTAAGCGCGTTGAACTCAAGTGTAACTGGCGGATTGTGCTGACAGTCACGTTTACCTGTTTTATGTAGACCAGAATCCAAGAGTCTGAAAGCAGCTGCAGCAACTGATGTCCTAGGCCTGTCACATGCTGAGCCCTCAAAGGCATCACCTCAGGGGTCTTCATGTCAGCCCCGAGGGTGGGTGCAGTTAGCCCCTGGCTAGATGGGCAGAGGAAGGCCCTGTGAGACTAACAGCTTGCAGTTACAGAGGGCAGCGAGAGGACCCGGGTTTGCAGGGCGCCCGGGTTTGCAGGGCGCCCGGGTTTGCAGGGCGCCCGGGTTTGCAGGGCGCCCGGCCTCTTTGCTATCTTGCCGTCCGTGTCTCCACACCCAAGACTTTATTGGCCTTGTGTCCATGCTGGGAGGAATGAGGCCTCCCCCGGTGTCTGACCCTAAGCCTGTCCTCCTGCAGGTCCCATCTACCTCATCACCGAATACTGCCGCTACGGTGACCTGGTGGACTACCTGCACCGCAACAAGCACACATTCTTACAGCGCCACTCCAACAAGCCCCGCCCACCCAGTGCTGAGCTCTACAGCAATGCCCTGCCCGTGGGGCTCCCCATGCCCAGGTACGAGGGAGGCAGCACCCAGCCGAGCTTATGGGCACTCCTTGTCCAGAAGCCCAAAGATGCGGGTGTGTGCACTGGGACAGAGTAGCTTTTCCCGAGCCAAGGCCGTAGCCAGACAGACGATGCTAGAGAGAGAGTCATCTGTCACTTCCGTGTGACCTCAGTGACGCAGGCCCCATCCTAAGCCGTTTGTAGATGTGACTCCTTGAACCCACCCATCATCCTTGTGCCATGAGTGTTCTCTTGCCTCGGGAACAGAGTGGCAGAGGCAGTGATGAGCTGTGAGCTAGTCTCTAAGATGCTGTGAACTAGGCTCCCAGCCTTAGCTCCCAGTCTTCCACAAGCCAGCCTCCCCAGGCCCCAACAGGCGACTCAACCCCTGTTTCTGATTGTCTCATAACGAACATTTCTTATCTCGTGTCTGTTTGTGTGTTGTTTTTAATTTATTTTTATTTTATTGGTGCTTGGCACGCATGTATGTCTGTGTGAGGGTGATGGATTCTGGAGCTTCAGACAAGCGTGAGCTGCCATGTGGGTGCTGGGAATTGAACCTGGGTCCTCTGGGAGAGCAGTCAGTGATCTTAACTGCTGAGCCATCTCTCCAGTCCCTCTTTGTTGTTGTTGTTTGTTGATTAAATAAGCAAAGAGAAGAGTAACTTTTTTTTGGAAAAGTATACCCAAGGACGTGAAAGTGCACCCCAGACCTCTCTAACACTGTGACCCATTTCCTTGCTTGGTTCCACTACTCCCTGGGGGGCTGGGGCTGTACCCAGGGGTCCAGTGGAGGCCTTGTTGCCACCGTAGACCATGCACCTCCCAGCTCTGTAGGCAAGGGTAGTGCTGGCAAGGCCCAGAAGGGGCTTCTCTGTGACCCACGTATGACCCTTGTCCTGGCTGCTGTAGTCACTCCCGGGAGTGAACTCCGAGAATACATGCTGGGCCGTATATCTTACGTCATCCTGGCAGTCCCAGGGCCCGGGTCAGGGCCGCACAGGTTAGTTGAAAGGGTTTGATTCGGTCATTTATAGTGTGGCAGGCCATAGGACAGTGGGTACAGTGGCTGAGGAAATCCACAGATGACAAGGCCCCATGGGCTCAAGCAGAGCGAGGGACAGAGCAGGAGGGAAGAAAAATCCATGGCTTTCCCTGACTCCATCCTCTTGCCTACAGCCACTCGTCCCTGACTGGGGAGAGTGATGGGGGCTACATGGACATGAGCAAGGATGAATCTGTGGACTACGTGCCCATGCTGGCCATGAAAGGTGATATCAAGTACGCAGACATCGAGTCCTCCAGCTACATGGCCCCTTACGACAACTGTGTCCCATCTGGTAAGTGGATGCAGTATTGTCACACATGTGCAGGCTCATCCCATATGCGCAGTGACGCCTTCCTTTCAAAGTCCTTAAAGTCCCAGCCTTGTAGCAGCCCCGGGAGGAGGAGAGCTCATCTCATACATGTGGAAGCTGAGGCTAGCCTGCCCGGTGCCGCTAGCACTGGACCCTGCCCCGAGTCCTGTTGGTTCCAGAAGCCCGTGCGCTGCTGACAAGAAGGGGAGAGCCGGGTGGAGGTGGCCTCCTAGGGCCTGGAGGGAGGGAGATGTGCTCTGAGTTGGCCCCATGATCATCTAATGTCTTGAGAAACAGGCAGGCAAGCCTTAGCTAGTGGCCTTGGGGTTAAAGCTTTTTTTTTTTTTTGCCAGTGAAAGCAGAAAAGGTTTAGATTAGACACTTAAGAACTCATTCTCCTAAGGGAAGACTTGGAAAATCAGTAGCCACTTGTATTGAATACTCAGCCACCTACAAGCCTAAAGGCAGGGGTCTTCTAGGCCTATGGTGTACATAAAGTAACCCATAACCCTCTGTGCTCTCTAGCCCCCGAAAGGACATATAGGGCCACCTTGATCAATGAGTCACCAGTGCTCAGCTACACAGACCTCGTGGGCTTCAGCTACCAGGTGGCCAATGGCATGGAGTTCTTGGCCTCTAAGAACGTAAGTGTGGTCTTGATGGGGAAGGCAGAATTGTGGCGAGAGGGGTCATCTAGGCAACCAGACTCCCCCGCATTTATGGCCCCGTGAGACAGCTCCCCACCCTCTCGTAGGCAGGACACTGAGAAACCTCACACCCAGACGGGCACATGCTTTTCCTAAAGCCCCGGCCCAGAGGGTCTCCTGCCCTATAGTTGCCCCTTAGTCTCAGCTCCCCTCTCCTCTGACCCAGTGTGTTCATCGAGACCTGGCGGCCAGGAATGTGCTCATCTGCGAGGGCAAGCTGGTCAAGATCTGTGACTTTGGCCTGGCTCGAGACATCATGCGGGACTCCAACTACATCTCCAAAGGCAGTGTGAGTGCCTTCGCCCTCCACGGGGTTGTCCCCAGGCGCCTCTGGCGCTGGGTACAGATTTCCCCTGATCCATGTGGCTACAGCTCAGTATGGGGCACGCTGGTGGCTTATCCTACCACCAGAGACCTCAGTGCTGCCCAGCTATGAGCAGGGACAGGACAAGGAAGCCAGCTTTGTGCACAGTGATGAGAGATGGGGAGAGGGTCAGGACCGCTGTCACAGAAGGGGCTGAGGAACCGGCTACAGTGGGCTTGGGGGTAAATGGGGAGGGGTATAGACAGTCCCGTTTAGGAGATGTGAGGTAGAGGAGCAGAGGAAGGAAGATGTGGTAAGACAGGTAAGTCTTGACGCCGGGGATAGAGGGACTGAGGACACCAGAGATCAAAGAGAGCTCCTGCTCACTTCCATGGACAGCACATCCTAGGGGCTTCCCCCAGAAGCATGGCTGCCATGTCCCTAGCTAGTGAGCCAGGAAACAACTTCCCAGGGCTCTGGCCAGGAATGTGCTCAGAGCCCTGGAGTGGAGTGCGATGGGGTTGGTGTGGGAGCTCCTGGGTGTGGCGGGGCTGAGAGACTGGGCACTAGGACCCTCCATGCACTCGCCTCTGCAGACCTTCCTGCCGCTGAAATGGATGGCCCCGGAGAGCATCTTCAACAGCCTCTACACCACCTTGAGCGATGTGTGGTCTTTCGGGATCCTGCTCTGGGAGATCTTCACACTGGGTGAGCCACTTCCTCCCCCAGCCCCAAGCTATACACCAGACTGGCTACCTCCTGCCCCACCTCCCTCCTGATCGCTCCTCGGGCTCAAAGCAGGGGACTGTGGGACAGACGCTGGAACATGAGCAGGGACTCAGGAGCATGTCCAGGCCCTGCCACTCTTTCCATTGTGTGGCTTTGGAAAGTCCTATGCTGACTCTGGGTCTCTGTCTTCCCATCCAAGCATCAAAAGGGTTAGACATATCAAAAACCATGCTTAACGCCAGCTATAATAACACACATCTGCAATCCCAGCACTTGGAAGTCAGGAAGATGGAAAGTTTGAGGCCGGCTTGGACCACACAGAGACTCCATGCTTGGCTAATGAAACAAACACAGACACAAATCCTGCTTGGGTATCTATTTTCTCTATTTCCAATGCCAAGGGCATTGCATTCTCATATACGCCAGGGCAGTGTGCCTGAGAAGACACCCCCTCCACTTCCAACACCCTGAGGCAATAATGTCCCTGTCTCTGTTCCATGACAGGTGGCACCCCTTACCCAGAGCTGCCCATGAATGACCAGTTCTACAATGCCATCAAGAGGGGCTACCGCATGGCCCAGCCTGCTCATGCCTCTGATGAGATGTGAGTGGAACCTTGTACACCTGGGAGGGATTTGAGGCTTCAGAGCAACCGTAGCTCAGAGGTTAGACAAGTCCTGCTAGAACTAGATCAAGGTGCTCAAGATGGCGCCTTCAGGAAGTTCTGTGCCAGTCAAGGTCTCCACTTTCTCAGTGCTGGTTTCAAATGTGAGTCTGCCCTGCTCCCGAGGCTGCCGTTAGCACCACCCTGACATCTTCGTGCTTGCATTGCTGCAGAGCTGACGCTTTTTCAATTCTAAGTGTATGAGTGTTTTGCCTGCATGACTGTGTGTGCATCGCGTCCATGTCTGATGCCCTCAGAGGTCAGAAGAGGGTGTCAGATCCTTTGGAACTGGAATTACAGACAGCTGTGAGCCAGCATGTGGGTGCTGGGAATCGAACCCAACTGCTCTGAGCAACAAGTGCTCTTAATCATTGAACCATCCCTCCAGCCCCACCCAGAACTGAACTTTAAGGGCTCAGTTTGGTCGCGTGCCATCAGAACCAGACCTTATCTGGGAGGACGAAAGTCCCTATTGGCCAAATTCAGGTCACATGCTCACCACGGCATTTTTTGGGCTACACGGAATCACGTGGGTGAGGGAAGCTGCGAAGACTTCCCAAGGGATCTGTGAGCAGCAATGATGGTGTTAACACGGCCCAGGCTGCTCCCCAGCGTCTTTCCCTTCACCTTGCTCTGAGCCCTACTGTATGTCTCTAAGGTAGAGACTCTGACCGTCTCTCTGCCTCCCTCAGCTATGAGATCATGCAGAAGTGCTGGGAAGAGAAGTTTGAGACTCGGCCCCCTTTCTCCCAGCTGGTGCTGCTCCTGGAGAGGCTGCTGGGTGAGGGTTATAAAAAGGTATGTGGAGAAAAGGCGGGTGGGAGACAGTTCTGGTCCAAACCCTGTGCGCTGGGCTTGCGGTGCTGGGCCTCAGTTTCCTTGCTGGTACTAAAAAGAGTCAGGCCAGAGCTACGAATTTATTTTAATAGAACCAAGATGTGGAAGCTGATGAATTTGACCCAGGGAGGTGCGGTTGGCCGATAACCCTATTGTCAAACCTGTGCACCATGACAACACCGGGGCTGCTTCAGAAGTGTGAGCAGCCCCAGGCTCTCCTGAACCCTCACAGCAACTACACTTAAACCTTGTCCGAGGTTCACAGCCCGTCCCGAGCTCGGCTTCTTGCTTCTTCCCATCTGAGGGCGGTCCTAGGGAGATAAGGCGGAATGGAGTCACCACTATTTCACAGCAACGGACACTGACCCAGTCTCCCAGCAGGAGGCTGTGGGAGACTACCAAAGGCTAAGGGTCCATATCTGTCTACTCTGGAGTGGGGTAGGAGTTAGGATCATGGCACTGCCTGGCTACCCGCTCTTCCCTAGGGGACTCTGGGCATGGACCTTGTCTTGGGGTGCCAGGTAGGAAGGCAGCTCACTGGTGCAGCTTCCAGCAGAACCCCTTTCTCTGTGTGCCAGCCGGGGCAGAGGGTCTCTAAGACGCTGCCCATCTCACACTCATGCTTTTCCTTCACTCCCTGTCCTACGGAGCAGAAGTACCAGCAGGTAGATGAAGAGTTTCTGAGAAGTGACCACCCAGCCATCCTGAGGTCTCAAGCCCGCTTGCCAGGGTTCCACGGCCTCCGATCTCCCCTGGACACTAGCTCTGTCCTCTACACTGCTGTGCAACCCAACGAGGGGGACAATGACTACATCATCCCCTTGCCTGACCCCAAGCCTGATGCCGCTGATGAGGGCCTCCTAGAGGGTTCCCCCAGTCTTGCCAGGTAATCACCCTAACACTTTGGTCCAAGGCATTCATGAGTATAGTGCATGTGTTTGTGAGTGTGTGTGTGGGCGTGTGCCGAACTTGCCACAGAAGGACTGACGTCTAGCTAGAGTAAGGATGAACTCTTGCCAGTGGCCAGCAGAGGAGTTTATTCAGCTCTTGAAGCCGCAGGCAGGAAGGGCAGACTGGAATGAAATAAGATGTTTGGGAACCCGTTTGCAAGACAGCTCTTCCTTTTAAGGGTGAGTGTACCCGCAGGACCCTTTGCAGGCACTGTGTTAGTCCCGAGGAGAAAGAGGAAACATCTAACGTTTCCCAGCTGTTACTGTGGGTCATGGCTGCCATGCCCAGAGTGTTCCAGGGAGCACTACTTGTAGGAGATAGAGGTGCTGCAAATTCAGTTTAGAACTCAGACAGGGGAAGAGACACATGGTCAGCCATGGGCTGTGACGAGCCCATTGTGAGGTGGGCTCTAGGGGAGCCTTATTGCTTCCTAGTTGTCAGGCTGGAGTGGGGACTCCCCCAAATCAAGATTCACCCCATGGGGGAATGGTAGGAGACATGCTGGTTTCCATTTCTAGCCTGTCATTATGAAACGGGGACAGGCCTTGCCTCCGTGAGCCTCAGTTTCTCCATAGGAACTAGCAGTACATGCAGGCCTTTGCAGGCCCTGAAGGCAAGCCGAGATGAGAAAGAAACTTGAGAGCCTGATGGTCCTGCTCTCAAGTTCTAGCCTCCGTGCTCCCTCGCTGTGGGTTAGGGAGCAGTGGCATAACTCCCTAGGCTGTGCTCGCCTGTGGTGCAGGCCTCTCAGTATGGAAAGTCAATACACAAAGAAACCTTAGACAAGGCTGTTATTATCTTCCTGGGGTCACCCCAGTTCCTTCCTGACTGTGTCCTTCCTCCAGCTCCACCTTGAATGAAGTCAACACCTCCTCGACCATCTCCTGTGACAGTCCCCTGGATCTCCAAGAAGAACCGCAGGCAGAGCCTGAGGCAGAGCTGGAGCAGCCACAGGGCTCAGGCTGCCAGGGACCTCAGGCTGAAGCAGAGGACAGCTTCCTGTAGGCCCCACCCCACCCTGCCTGGAACTCCCATTTGCCTCCCAGCACCCAGCCCTTGGCCTGGTCTGGCCTCCCTTGAAGGCCCCTGGTGTGTGGCACTCAAGGCTAGGGACCAGTTTAGCTGCGGACAGAACTGTGGGGACTGAGCCTCTGCTTCTGGAAAGCCATGAGACTCCGGGCCAGGGCTCCTCCAGGGGACTCGGCTTCCCCAGAGGAAGAGTTGGGCTTGGCTGCCGGACAGGTATGGCGCCTGGATTCCTGGAGAGAGTCCTGGGTGTAAGGTTGTGTGTTCCCGTCCTCCAGTGTAGCCAGCTGCCCCTCAGCTGAATCACTCTGCTTTGCTCTTCCCAAGAACTGGGCAAGAACCTGGGGCCTGGCTCCCGGCCAAACAGAGGCCAGCCTTGGACAAGGTCATTTCATTAGAACCCACCTCCCCGGTGCCAGCCTTAGCTTTCCCAGGCCCGAGCTGGTCTGGGGCCAGCCATGCTTCATGAACACTGTTAGGGGAGAAGGCAGAGCAAGGACGCTCTGGCCTGCAGCCCTCAGGTCACACCTGGCCACAAGAGGTACCCACGCCTTTCATGGCCATCGCCCGCTAGAGTCTGCCAGCACATAACTCATGCCTTCGTTTGCTAAGTGCCTCCCTGAAGGCAGCACTAGGAGCCCTGACTCTGCACTGGACCCTGCTGTGAGTCCTCGGAGGACCCCCTTGTTCTCTTCAGGTACCAGTTTCCTTTCCCCTCTGAAAACTGAGCAAGCTGGACTCATTCACCCTGTGTACCCTGTCAATTCTACAATTCTAGAGTGTTCCAGGGCCTTGGACTTATCCAGACAGAGTGGGGCCAAGTCTCTAAGCCACATTTCTGGCTGGAGATTCCAGATACCACATCTGGGGATTCAGGAACTGAGCCTCTTCTTCAGGCCCCCAAGGGCAACTGCCCAGACCTTGACTTGGCGTAACAGTCAGTGTCCTAGGAAAACCCCCTACAGCTGTCTTGAGGACACAGAAGAAGAGCCAGCAAGAGTGGCAGAGAAGGCACGCCAGGCCACCTCAGGCCACTGCCACCAGGAGTGGACGTGATGGACGAGCGTGAAGGCAGATGTGTCCTGTGTAGGACGAGAAGCTTGAGGTGGGCCGGAGACAAGGATGCCATGGGGATCGCCATCTCTACTGACAGCTGTCCCTGTCCTCAAGGCGGCACCGCACAGGAATGGCTTTGTCACTGCCCAAGTGGCTCTTCACCAGCCCTGAACCGGTGGACACTGGAGGAGCCGGGGGGAGGGGCGAGGAGTGGCTGGAATAGGGGAGGAGAAGCCAGCCCCTCTGGGAGCCTCCTGTGCTGGCTTGCTGGCTGGCAGCTCCCTGCCTGGGGCAGCGGAGGTTGCTGGAGGATGGGGCGAGCTGCTCACAACGGTACCAAAGATGTAATCACCTAGGTTTACAAATACTCATAGGACTCACGATAACCCACTTAGACACCAGAAGTGCTATTTTATATGCCGTTAAGCTTTCCTATCTGTACTTTTTTTTTTTAAGGGAAAAGTTTAATATTAAACTTGGTGCTTCTCACTAAAAGACCAAGTGGTCTCTTAGGCTTGGGTCTGTGTGTCCGGGAATGCGGAGACAGTTCGTTCCAGACGGGTCTGACCCTTAGGCTCCAACTCTCACATACCTTCTTTTCTTTAAAGCCAGTTTCATTTCCTCCCATCCTGGGAAGTGGTTGGGTGACCACCTAGGCCTTGTGCTTGGGTTAGTGGGAAGTGAGGCTTTTCTTGCTGTGGTGTCTGGAAGAACATGGGCTTCCAGAGATGGTCCAAGCCCTCTACCCCCGCCACTGCCCGCCCTGCCATGTGCTCTGGCTTTGCCCGCTAAGCTGAGTCACCCCCCCCTTGTCCCACTTCTTGCTGCCTCCAGCCAGACTTGAGCTGGGGTGGCTTGTGGAGAGGAGCCCACCAGAGTCCTAATCCTACTTCCTTGAGAATCGTCACTGGGACCCAGGTAGGAGCAGGGCAAACTGAATACCCAATGGGCCAGAGAGCGAGAAAAAGGAAGGAAGGAGAAAGTGTGGAGGAGAGAGGAGGAACAGAGGACGGTGTGATGGAGCAACAGGGGGGCAGAAACCATGCTCTGACTGAGGACGGAGGGGTGCAGCCCCAGGTAGCTTCTGCATCCCAGAGACTGTGGGGCCAGCGTGAGATAAGCATCCTGGCTCCTGCTGGGTCCTGGTTATAGGCTCCTCTGCTGATCCCAGCCCACAGAACACTGGTCTGTGGGACACTGGCAGCAACTCGGAACCAGGGGAATGGGAACTTCTGGGACAGGTCATGGGGAAAGCATTCCAACACGGGCTGTGGTTTCCAGACCCTCCTACCTCAGCTGTTTGGCGGGGTCGCTTGAGATGGGAGCAGGTTTTGACTTGAGGCCTGTCATGTCACCCTTTGCTGTATGTCTTTGGGCCTTCCCTTTGTGAGCTGAGGGGGTGCATCTCTGGAGGTATGTGAAGGACGTATCATTTTGGAGCTTCAGGCTGGGTCTCCCAGTCTGAGTAAGGGTGGAGTTATGGGTTAGCCCTGACTCACGGGCAAGCTGCTGATGATTCATGAGGCTGCTGCGTCCTTGGGCATAACACTCAAGGGAGAACTTCAGCTAAGACAAAAACTTAGATAAATTTCCCCCCACAGACAGGTTTCTCTGTTTAACAGTCCTGGCTGCCCTGGAACTCACTTTGTAGATCAGGCTGGCCTTGAACTCACAGAGATCCACCTGCTTCTGCTTCTGCTGGGATTAAAGGCATGCGTCACAAGGCCTGGCTTACATTTTTTTTTTTAAGATTTAGATGTAGAGTGTATGTCTATTATTTGCATGCAATACCCACAGAGGCCAGAAGAGGGCATCATATTTTCCCCCCTCCCCCAATAACTGGAGTAATGGACCATCTTGAGCTGTTCTGTGAATGCTGGGAAAGAGCAGGGATCTCTCTCTCTCCCTCCCTCCCTCCCTCCCTCCCTCCCTCCCTCCCTCCCTCCCTCCCTCTCTCTCTCTCTCTCTCTCTCTCTCTCTCTCTCTTTCCATCTCTCTCCCTCCCTCCCTCCCTCCCTCCCTCTCTCTCTCTCTGCTCCCAGGAGTGACCTGACTGGGGCAGCAAGGGAATGAAGAAAAGACAGACACACAGAACTAGCTGTGATTGGTGGTCTAGGCTGATTTCAGCAGGAGCAGCCTCGTAGGGAACTGTGTTCAGTTGGTAAACATCCATGGAAGAATGGTGGACATTTTCTGCACATGTGGTCAACATCCACACTAGAACTGCAGGACCTAGAGGAAGGTTTTTGCCAGGTCAGGCCTTCACACACCCAGGGCTTCCTCTGCTCTCACAATTTATGTTTTCATTTTATATGTTATGGGTGTTTTGTTTGCATGTGCATGCAGTGCCTGCAGAGGCCAGAAGAGGGCGCTGTGTTCCCTGGAATTGAAGTTACAGATGGTTGTGGGTCGCCATGTGGGTGCTGGGAATTGAACTCTTCTGCAAGAGCAGCTAATGCTCCTAACCACTTGCCCACTTGCTCCAATCATGCAGATCGAAATTTGGAAATTAAAGTTTTGCTTTACACAGGTTCCACCAAGAGATTAAGACATGTGTTTTTATCCCAAGCATGTTTTCCCAGCTGTGTTTATAACCTTGTCTGTGGTGTTCTTAGGAAGGGCCTATAGTTCTGCATAAGGTTTCTGTGTAGGGAAGTTTCCAGTCTGTATGCAGAATCTCCTGACTCAGGCTGCAAGAGGTCACGTGGGGGTGGGGGTGACTCCTCCTTGTGCCTAGCCTTTTTCTGTGTCTCTATCCAGTCTCGCTGGGGTTGGGTAAAAATAATGAAAAACATTTGGAGGCCGCCTTGAATCTCCCAGGACCATTTGGGCCCCTGCTTCTCAGCCTCACCACACAGGAAAAATAAGTGAGCTGGAATTTTCCTCCCAGACAAATGAGCCACTTGGACCACTCAATTCTTCCACAGTCCACTCGCAGCCAGGGGTCCCTTTTCCTGGAAAAAGAAGGAAATACTGAAGAACACTGTTGCAGTAGGGCCCCTTTGTGCCTTGATAAAGTGTTCCCAGCCCCTAGCAACACCCCTTCTCTGAATTAGGGCCCTTGTTTTTCTGAGCATATTGTTTAGGTTTGTGTCAATTAATTCATTTTGTGAAAGTGTTCTAAGTTTATAGTTATTACAGAATTTACACCACCGCAATCGATCCCTCATATGTGTTTTCATGGTTTAAATTCTGCTAACAGCTTAAACACGTACTCTCTCTGCTTAGTTACTCAGCGGATAGGAAAATGTCTTATGGAAATGCTTTTTCCTCATTGCAAAGTTTAGTTACAATTATCTAGGATTTTTCCTTCTTTGTATTTACATTAACATTTTGCTTTACATATAACTAAGCTATAGTCATTTTTAAAGCTACCGATAGCATTTTGCACCTTTTTGGTTTTTCTTTACAGTATTTAAATACAGAGGCACATACAGACATAAATCCATCCATCCTGAGAGCTGCATGTGGTTTAAAGTACCCCAGGCCCTCAGGTAGCTACTGATGAAACTCGTACATTGTTTCCAACTTCCCAGTTATAAATCATGTTGCAACAACCATGACTTGAAGTACGCTTGTGTTTACACATTTGTCTGTTTGTTCCCTTAGGCTATATCTCCAGCCATAATTACTGGTAAAGAGGATAGATGTTTAAAAATATAAGAGAGGAGGCACGCACCAATAATCCCAGAACTCACGTCTCTGTATCTATATCTGTATCTGTATCTGTCTCTGTCTCTGTATCTCTCTTTCTCTCTCTGTGTCTTTCTGTCTGTCTGTCTCTCTGTGTCTGTCTGTCTGTCTCTCCTTCGGGTTACTGGCATTGAGTATGGTAGCCGTACACTCGTAATCCCAGCACTCAAGAAGGAAGGAGGATAGCAAATTCTGGAGCTTCGTAGAGAGACTCTGTCTTCTAGTAAACAACAACATCAAAAGGTTACTGGACCTTGAAATCTGTGCTCCCAGCACCTGGGCTCTTGAGATAGGGTCTCCTGTAGCTCAGGCTGGCCTACAACTTTGAACGTAGCTGAGAATGACCTTGAGCTTCTGATCCTTCTGCCTCACACAGTGCCACGCTCCACTGAAAGCTCCCTTTGACGTACACAAGGTTAGGGCTAAAGGAATGGCTCTGGAGTTGAGTCCTTGCTGCTCTTGCAGAAGACCCAGGTTTGCCGCCCAGCCATGGTAGCTCACAGCCACGCATCATAACTCCAGGTCCAGGGGATCCAACACCCTCTTTTGACCCCCACAGAGAACTACGGTGCACACAGACACACAGGCAGACAAAACACCCATCTATGTAAAGTGAAAAACAGATAAACCCTTTTAAAAGAAAAAGAATTACAATGCACAAAGTCATAGTGCCTCTAGGAGACTTAAAAACCCGATGGGCATGGTGCATGCCTTTAATCCCAGCACTTGGGAGGTAGATTCAGGCGGATCTCTGTGAGTTTGAGGCCAGCCTGGTCTACAACTGGAGTTACAAGACAGCCAGGGCTATTACACAGAGAAACCCTATCTCAGAAAACCAATAAATAAATAAATAATGAGGAGAACAATATGCATTCTGGCAAGGTGCCCTGGCCTTGCCGTCTAGTCTGGGACCTGTCAGATTTACTGTAAACAGCCACAGGCAAAAGAGATCAAAATCTCACTGACCGCAGCCCCAGGGCCCCTGACCAGGCTGATGGGCCCTTGCTGCTTCCGCTGCTCCTCAGGTTGGGCCTCCCTGCCAGCTTCAGGGGGCACCCCACTTCACGCCTGAAAGTTCTGGGGACTACACAGTCCCCAGCATGGGCTGAGGAGGGAAGCCAAGGAAAGACGCCCAGATGAAGTGGAGCCTGAGGGCCTGGGTGGGCTGCCCAGTGTCCTTGTCATTGCCTTCCTGACTCAGGCCAGACCCGGGATGCCTCTAAGACAGTGGGTGGAGCCTGGGGTTAGAGCACTGACCCTCTGCTGTGATGAAGCTGGGGGCGGGGCTCCTGTGTGAGATGGGGTTCTCAGCCCACTCTGGGCTGTGTGTGTGTGTGTGTGTGTGTGTGTGTGTGTGTGTGGCTGGGTGCTTCAGAGCCTGGTAAGGAGTCCTCTGCTCAGAGCAGAGACTTAGGGGCATGGCAGTTAGAAGCCATGCAATCTTCCAGTATCATTTCCCGTCTCGTGTCTGGTGACGTGCAGGTCTGTACCCTCCGGCTCCTCTGTGCCCACCCGAGGCTGTTTTCCCAGCAGTCCTGGAGCAGGCTAACTTCTCTGGCCCTGTCATCACATCTCCATAGACTCTGGGGTTGGGTTTTGTGAGCAGTCACTGCAAGACATCAGAAAAGTCACACATAGGGGAGTAGCAAAGCTTGTAAAGGTGCTGTCCCCTACTCAGAGTCCAGAGGGGGTTCCTGGGGTAGCCCTGCTCTCCTTCCTCAGACACCTCCAGTGGCTCCTCACAGCTCAGCCCAGTTGGCATGTGGGGTCCAAGGCCCACCCCGGCCATGAACCTAACCCCTGCTGTTGCCTCTCCCAGCTCCCTATTTAAAGTCTGCCTTCGCTATGTGAGACACACGCCTGCTGACCTCTGCCTGTGGCTTACCACCTACCATTCCTAGCCCTCTGTGGTAAAGGGTCATCTTGCCTAAGCCCTAAGGCATCATAGGCCACCTCTTCCTCAAGCTTTCCTGTCTCCTGCTTGTGACTGTCCAGTGCAGATCTCTTGAGGGCTGTTTTTGTCATTGGTGGTGATGGTTTGGGTTGGTTTTTGCTTTGTTTTTCAGTGACTTTGACCTCTGATGTCCTCTGCACTCTTACTACCAAGCCTCTGTCATGCTTTTTCTCTTTGCTAGAACATTCCATGCTCCTGCTCACTCCCAACACCCACCCAGTTTTGAATAACCCTTCCTCCACTCACTTTCTGGTATTCTCAGGACCTCCTGCAACACACACATGCCTCCATTCCAGCTCCACGATTGGGTGTGTGTTCTAGAAGACAGAGACCAAAGGAGCGCAGCCGGGAGACTGGCACCAAGAGCGCCCCATTTTGTAGTCTCAGAACTCTCCCTCTTCCTGCATCTGGGCAATGTCGGAGCCACCCTTTTGGTCTTCAAGATCTTCATTTAGCTAAGATGCCTCTGTCTCTAGCTGTGTCTACACATATAGAGAGTCCAGCTGCCTTCTCCCCATTTGGTTCTTGGAACTTCCAGACTCGATGGCAGGGACTCGTAGTCTTGCTTGTCTACTTTTAGATGCTTAGTGGTACCAGCGTGTTGTCATAACTGCCCCACCTAGCCACTTGCTCTTCCATCTCCCGGGCTGATGAAGGCTCTACATGCAGGGACCAGTGCTGAACCCCAAGCCCCAGATAAGGCCTAACCGAATTGGTTACAGAAAACGAGGACGCCTTGTTCTGCTTGGCTTGTTCACCCTTGATGCATTTGGGTGGTGACAGACACGGCCAAAGTGAAAAGCTGTAAGGGTCACAGGTCCCACCAGGGAGCTCCTGCTGGGCAGGTGTGTGCGTCACCTTCACAGCGCGCACGGTCAGTAACCACCCTCCCAACTGCGCTCACGCTGCCTGAGAATGCTGTGAAGCCGAAGGGCCACGGGAAGTCAAAAATGGATACAGAGCTAGCAGAGGGAGAGAGAGGGGTACCCGCGGCCAAGGCTGAGGCAGGAGGAAGGAGCTGAAAGGACAGAGTGTGGAGGGGGCGTGGCCTGAAAGTACAGCGGATGGAGGGGGCGTGGTGGGGAGGAGGAGGCCATTCAGCAGGGGGTAGAGAATAAAGGTGCTCGCGCAGCCCTTTCTGGGGGACTTGGAAGACCGGAGACGTTATTCCGTCACTCTCCAGTGGAACCCACTTAACTCTCGCCCCCAGTCAGGTGTGCTCAGTCCTCTCTGGCTGCCAAGCCACCATGATGTTGGCTGTCTGGTTCCTGGCCCAGAGGGTTCCAGAGCATGGAGCTGGGTGACATCTAGAGAGGTTCCAGGAACCAAACAGAGAGGTGAAGGCTGTTCTCTCACTTGTGCGGAAGCACAGTGTAGCTCATTCACTCACCGAAGGATTTTCCTAATCCTTGAACTCAGGTGGAGACTTTACTCTGAGATCCTCTGCTGTATGTGCCTGTGACTTTTGGATTCGTGTTCCCACATTGCTCTTGGAGCACAGGTCTCCAGAGAGCTCTGGGCCATTGAGAGCCATCACCTACATGATTGATCCTTCTTGGGTCAGAGGGCTTTGCACATGAACCTCACCTTCCTGCCACCTCCTCCAGGCCCTCTTACTCTGACTAGCCTCTGCCCAGCATTATTCCTTCTCTGAGATAGTCCTCTGGGACACAGGGCTCCATTCCTCCTTAAGGCCAGCCCCAGAACTGCTGCTCTGGGAACCTTCATAGGATCTCCTGTCTCTGTCACAGCCACACTAGCTGGCCCCCAAGCAAGCCAGGCCCAAGAAGTGATGGTGGCCCTGATGAGCCAGCATATTGCTGGAAATGTGATGAGGGGTGAGGAGATCCTGTTCCAGGGACAGCTGGGATAGCCATGGGGTCTGTCTCTCCAACACTGCAGGGCTGTCTCAGGACAGGAAACAGGATTTCTGGGGCTCCAAAGGATAGCAGCAGGACAGGTGGGTACCCTGGGGAGGTGGTGTATCCTCAGTAAGGAACTGCAGACCCATAGCAGGAGAAATCGTGTAAGAAAAATAGACCAGCTAACTCACCTAGGTAACCAGGACAACGACCCCTTACCTGGGCCTTATTTTGTCCCTCAAGTCTTTCCAAAGCATCTGGGAGGCCCCAGATAAGCCACTTGCCCTCCGGTCTTCCCTCCCCTTACCTATACAGTGGAGATAATATGCAGGACACTGATTCCGTGTGACCCCAGCCTGCATGGGAAAATGAAAATGAAAGTTTTTGTCAGCTATGCAAGCTCAGCACAGAAGAAAAGATGGGAGGATTGACCACAGACAGAGTAGAAAGTTCTGTGTGTGTAATAACCATCTAAAGAACACGAAAAGAAGCGTGGCTGACTGCTCAGCATTTGTGGCAGTAGGGTTAACAGTACAGTTTGCACATTGTCCCAACAAATTAATGAAAGCAAAAAGAAAAGTGGACAAAAGATATCTACAGAAGCATGGATGGATGATAAACACATGAAAACAGGGGCTTATTTCATCGCAAACTCAGGAAGAGAATATTGAAACATTAGTTAATTACTGCTCGTTTCTAGGAGAATGGTGTGCATGCGTGTGTGTGTGTGTGTGTGTGTGTGTGTGTGTGTGTGTGTGTGTGTACGTGCATGCATGAGTGTGTCTAGTGCTGGGGATGGAACCTAGGATCTCATACGTACTAGGCAAACTCTCTAACATTGATCCGCACCCCCAGCCCTGGGAAAAAATGAAAAGAGCAGTAATATTCAGTGTCAGCAGGAACACAGTGGTGCTGGTTTTCCCACACGGCGGTGGAAGTGTACAAGCGTACTGCCTCTTTCAGAGAACAGAATTTCCACATTTCAAGTATCGACACTGACCAGACATCACTTTTCTAGAAATGGGTCCAGCTAGATGATTGCATGTGTGGTTGGTTGGTTGTTTTGACTCTTTGACTCTTTTTTACTCTTTGGACTCTTTCCTCTTTTGGAGGGCCTGCCACCCAGCTCCCAAATAAATCACACAGGGAGGCTTATTATTTCTTATGAAGGCCTGGCCTTCGCTTGGCTTGTTTCTAGTCAGCTTTTCTAACTTAAATTGACCTGTCTATCTTTTGCCTCTGGGCTTTCCTCTTTTTCTATTTCTGTATACCTTTCTTTACTTCTTACTCCGTGGCTGACTGTGTAGCTGGGTGGCTGGACCCTTCTTTACCCGCTCCCTGATCCTTTCTTCCCAGATTTCTCCTCCTGTTTATTCTCTCTGCCCGCCTATCGTTTCTCCTGCCTTGCTATTGGCAATTCAGCTCTTTATTAGACCCATCAGGTGTTTTAGACACACAAAGTAACACAGCTTCACAGCGTTAAAAACAAATGCAACACTAAAACAAATGCTCCACAGCATAAATAATTATAATGCATCTTAAAATAATATTCCATAACACATTTGTGCTGAAAGGTTCATGTGTTATTGTTTACAACAGATAAAAAACAGAGGGAATGAAAGTGCCCTTTGGCTAGAAGACTGAGGAGGGATTTCATATGCAGCAATGTAAAGGCACTAGAGTATCCTGGGAGTGTGGTGCTGTGCTCCCATAATTCCAGCATGCTGATGCTGAGGCAGAATGATCCTGGTTTAGCCAGTCTGGCTATCTAGCAAGACCCCATCTCAAGGAATAAAACCCAAACCACGGCAATAAGAACAGCAAGGTAAAGCTACGTACTTTGAAGCAATAGGTCTGGGGTCTCAAGAGAATGACCACAACATTCAGAGTTATTATGGCAATGCAAAAAGTTTCACTTCTGCAGAAGGTTGTCCAACTGTGCCACATCAAGTAGGCAAGAGGGTCCCGCTGGGTTTTTATTCCTAACACAAAGGGGTCCTGTGCATGAGTCACTGATTCAAAGTGTGACCAAACAGAATACAATTCCGAGCACTGAGTGTAACCTTGAGTGCACGCTTTGATTTCAGGAACTGCTAGGTGACACTTGCTAGACTTGACACAAGCTAGAGTCATTTTCAAAGGGGGACCTCAGGGGAGAAAATCTCCCTGCCAGATTGCCTGTGGTTCGTTTTCTTGACTAATAGTCAACGTGGAGAAGCCCAGCTCACTGTGGGTGGTACTGCCCTGGGCTGGTGGTCCTAAGGGCTTAAGGAAGCAGGCTGAGCCAGCCATGGGGAACAAGTCAGTAAGCAGCACCCCCCATGGCCTCTGCACCTCCAGGTTCCTGCCTTGAGTTCCTGCCCTGACTGGCAATGTAAGCAAGATAAAAAACAAAAACAAACCCCAAAAAACCCCTTTCCTCCTCAAGTTGCCTCTGGTCATGGTGTTTTGTCACAGCAATAGAAGCCTAAGACACAGACCCTGGAGGAATTTGAATTTCCCCCTCGCATACTTTTTAAATGAAGCCTTGTCTTGGTTTAACCCTTTCTTTGATAGAAAAGGCGGTATATTTCCTCCACGTTTTCCACATAATGACTCGGAAAGAATTCTAAGATGTGCTGTTGATTGGTGTGTGTGTGTCTGGTTCTGGATTCCATTATGCTGAGTTCCCACACGGGTCTGTCTCTTCCTCCGACAGAGCCACAGGGCAGTCTATAAACAGGGTGATATTGAGGCAAGATAGAAAGGTAGGGAAAGGTGAGGAGGGCATGGGGAGTGAAAAGAGCCCCTCCACCCCCCCAAATGGACCTGACTTACTTCTCCAAGCCTGAGTCAGGAGTTTCTGCATGCTGATTGGCTGGAAGCTGCTCTAGACAGAGCCCATAAGCATATACTCCCTAAGACTACCACAAGCAAGGTTGTCAAGGTGACCAGAGTAGACAAACACATTTTCCCCCCTCCCTCGACCTCAGTTACAGGATACCTCTCTAAAGAGTGTGTAACTCCCGGATAACTTACACAGCGGCAGGTGAAGCACTTACGTGTGCTCTGGCCCGACTCTCTGCAAGTGTCTCTGTCCTTTCTCCTAACCAATAAACCGCTGATTGTGCCGCATTTTACCTTGTCCCAAAATTCTTTTCTGCTTCAGTGTAAATCATGCACCACAGTATTTCAAGTTGATTTCCACTGCTGGTGACAGTGCAGGTCTTCCAACCTGTTTGGTTTCTTCCTGGCTTGTCTACTCTTGCTCCCCTGTTTTCTTTTCTTTCCTCCCTTCTTTCCCCTTTGAAACAGGTTTGTTTGTTTTGGTGTGTGTGTGTGTGTGTGTGTGTGTGTGTGTGTGTGTGTGTGTGTGTGTGTGTGTGTGGTTTGGTTGTCTTGGAACTAGTTCTGTAGACCAGGCTGGCCTCAAACACACAGTGTTTATGTGTTCACATGTGTATGGGTGGAGGTGTGTGTGTGTGTGTGTGTGTTTGTGTGTGTGAGAGAGAGAGAGACAGAGACAGAGACAGAGACAGAGAGAGATGTTAAGTTAACAAGTTAACATTAGGGCTTTTCTAGAGCACTCTGTAGGCCTTGTATACTGAGTGCCTTGTATACTGAGGAAGGGTCTTTTCACATGACCCCAAAGATTGCTGGTTTACTGAGTCTAGCAGGGGATCTCATCTACACCTTGCATGTACTGAATTTACAGATGAGCCGCCATGCCCACCCAGCATCTATGTGAGCACTAGGAAACTGAACTCTGATGCTCACACCACACAGCTAGCCCTTCGCCTGCTAAGTCATCTCCCCAGCCCCCCTTCACGTCTATATAAATCTTAAGAGCAACTTGTCAGTTTCTGCAGAAAAAATTAGATTTTTCTGCTGCAATTTTTATGAATTTTCCTTTCTGAATCTCTAAGTTCAAGTAGGATGGAACTAACATGCTTAACAAAACTGAACTTGCCAGTCCATGGACCTGGAATGTGTCTCAGTGTTTAGTTACATCTTCTCCAGTGTTCTGGAGTCTGTACACAGATTTTACACATAGTTAAGTTTGAATCTGCTTCATGTTTTTCCAGCGCTGTTAGACATGGTGGCTTTGACTGGAGGTAGGTGCTCTTGTCACCTTCTCTTGTCACCTTCCTCAGGGTTCTGTCCCTTGCCGTGCACTCAGCAAAATTGTTGAGTTTCTAAAACGGAATGAATATATTCATCTATAATCAAAACAGTATTTTTCTAAAAATAAATACCAGGGTTTTTATTTTTTCTGTCTACACATGCCCTGTTGGCCTCGCTCTTGCTATACCAGGGTGTTTTTATATAACTGATTTTTGTACATTGGTTTTGTTTTTGTGCCTTTAGTTTTATTAATCTTTCTTATTAGTCTGAGTATTTTTTAGGTTAAAATTTTTTTGTATGAAGACACTCATTTTATCTCCTCATAGAGATATTTTATTTCTTTTTAAATGTGTGTGTCTTTTTTTTATTTTTCTGCCTCATTGCAGTGTCTGAGGTCTTTAGTACAGTGTTTAAAGGAGAATAGATATTCTTACCATGTTTCTTATTTTAGGAGGAAAATATTCATTCTGTTACTATTTGGTTTGATCTTTTTCAGATGGTGTGTGTGTGTGTGTGTGTGTGTGTGTGTGTGTGTGTGTGTAACAGTCTGTAGCTGGCTTTGAATTCATTATAATCCTCCTGCCTCAGCCGCTCAAGTGCCAGGATTAGAGGTGTGAGCCACCATGTCCAGCTTGCAGGAGTTTTTAAAGATCAGAAATGGACACTGGCTGTTGTCCTTTCTGTTTGAACTAATGAGTGTGATTAGGGTTGTTTACAGGAGCACGGGTAACAGCCCTGAAGAGAAGTATCTCTAAAATGGATTTCCTGTAGACAGAAATAGTTGGATTTTTATTTCCTTACCCAAAGGGCATCTTTGCCTTTGGATTCATGTATTTGGACTACTTACATTTGCAGTGATAATTAACATAGTGGATTTAAATCTGCCACCTTGTGAGATCTTTCTGTTGGCTCCCTCTGGTCCTCTTTTTTTCCTGGGCCTCCTTTTGTATTCGCTGTGTTTTAGTTTAGCCCCACCATTGGCTGACAACATGGACAGTTTTCAGTGGCTATCTTAGGTTTAGCAGGTATATGACTGTAGCTCAGAAACGTCTCCCTAATTAATATTATGTGGAACTAAACACAGCGCCAAAGCCACTCATCAGTATGCTCCTCCTTCCACCCTTTGTGACCCTGCTGTCACCGTTTCCCTTCTGCCTGTGCGTAAATGCACAACACCACGATTGCTGTTTTTGCTCTAAGCAGACATCGGCACGCAGTGGCCTTTGGGCCAAATGGAGACTGCTTCCTGTTTTTTTTTTTTTTTTAAACAGTCGACAGTGTTACTCTCAATGGGTTACACATCATCTGTGCCACACGCATGGGACACCGTGGCCACCAGCTGCTACAAGGTTCATATGACCAGGGGACCTAAAATGCTCCGAAGTTTGCTTAGAAAATTGTTCTTTCAGCAGTTAAATGATAGTTGTGCTTTTAGCTACCCCCCCCCCATTCTTAGCATTCTTTAGTTTCATTTACTTTTTTAGGTGGATAACCAAGTTTCTGGTTTGTACACCCCTCTCCCCCCCAACAATTGGAGATGCCACCACCACGTGCTTGTTTGCTTGGCAGTAACCACATTCAGTTTTGGTCACTTTGTTCCTAAGTGGTCACTTTAGGTCTGGCATTTGCACACGGTTCCAAGGCCTTTTTGTCCCTTACAGCGACTCAGTGCCTGATGCCCGTAGAGCAGGCCCACCCCATCTCTCCCTTCAGCCTCTGGTAACCACTGGTTGGCTGCCTGTCTCTGTGAACTCACTTATTCTGAGTGTTTCAGATAAGTGGGGTTTTGGAGACTGTCCTGGAACTTGCTTTGTAGACCAGGCTGGCCTCGAACTCAAAGACATCTGCCTGCCTCTGCCTCCCAAGTGCTGGGATTAAAGGCGTGCGCCACCAACACCCGGCGCACGCTGAATTTTGTGCCTGGCTTCTTTTACTCAGCTCTGTGTTTCGATGTTTATTCATCACTTTTTAAAGATATTTATTGAGAGAGGATAGAGAGAGAGCGAGAAAACATTTGAATGTTCAGGGATCAAAGGAGTCTGTTCTCTCCTTCCACCATGTGGGTCCTGGGGAGCCAACTCATATTGTCAAACGTTGTGGAAATACCTTTGCTAGCCTGGGAGTCATTCATCTTGAACTACTGGTATTTCATTCTTTTTGTAACTGAGCAATAATCCATGCACAGCTGTGCCACATTCTGTGATGTATTTGTTAGCTGATTTCACCTTTTGGCTATTGGAAATAGTGCTGAGTTGAACATCCGTGTGTAAGCACTGGTTTGAGTTCCTCCTTTCAGTTCTGTTGATTATACCTAAGGGTACAATTGCTGAGTGTACTAGTCAGGGTTCTCTAGAGGAACAGAACCAATGGGATGAATACATATGTTCATATATGTATGATTTATTAATATATATGGTTTATTAAATAGGCTTATGCTAAAATAGTAACAACAACTGAGTCACACCTGAGAGCTGAGAGTTCCTGTTGCTCAGGCCCTGAGGCTGGGAGCTTCAGCAGTCACAAGAGTCCCACAGTAACTGTCTCTCACTACACAAGTGGACAACCTGGTAGTTGCTCGGTCCACAAGGCTGGTTCCTCAACAGTCCCAATCGGGTGCCTAGAAGGTTCCCGGAGAACTGCTGGTCCTTAGTCCACAATGAAAACCTGCTACATTAGTTCTGACAACATCCAAGAACTCAGCAGCAGCAGCAACGCAATAACCAACTTGACAGTGAGGGAGAAGGACGAGGGAGCAGAAGGTGAGTAATCTTTCTTCAGTCACGCTCCTTTATCTGGACTGCTCCCAGAAGGTGTCACCCACAGTCAGGACACATCAGTTAAGGCAATTGGGACAGTTCTTCTGGCGAGGCTCTCTACTTCGGTGATTCTCACTTGGGGCAACTTGACATTAAAACCAACCATAATACTTGATCATACGGTGTTATGCCCAATTCGCGGGACCCCAGAAAGTCCACCACCAAGGAGGCGACACACCAAATGTAAAAACAAAGGTTTCTTCATTTGCAAGCTGCAGCAAGGATTCTACCCACTCAGGAGCAAGTGGAATACAGCTTACAGCTAAGGGGGGTATTTAAAGGGGAAGACCACAAAGCTGAAAGCCTTGAGATTACAAGTTTCTGTGGTAAAGCAATAACCATAAGTTTAAGTAAGATACAATTGAGCAGAATATGACAGGGGATATGTCTGTTAATTATCTCCTGGACCAGGGGTTTTTACGACCAGGAGTTGATGGCTGGCTACCTGGTTTCCTTTAGGGCAAAGGGATGTTGTCACAGCTGGAGGTGTGTGAACTGGACTTTGGCCTCTGGTCACATCTTCAGTTCTTTGTTTAGCCTCTCTTTTGTGCTGTCTTGAGGAGCTTAGAAAATTTCTCTTTCCAGTATGGGCTTTGTAGTCTAAGTTTTTAGACTTTTATTAATTTTTCCTATTTCAATGTTGCTACTACTTCTTCCTCCTTTTTTGGTTTATCTATTTATTTTTTGTTTTTGAAACAGGGTTTCTCTGTATAGCTCTGGTTGTCTTGGTACTCACTTTGTAGACCAGGCTTGCCTCAAACTCACAGAGAATCACCTGCTTCTGCCTCTTAACTGCTGGGATTAAAGGCGTGCACCACCATGCTGGTCTTCTGTTGCTAACTTTTTGAGGAACTAGCAAATTGATTTCCATAGGAGCCACACCATATTACGTTTCCACTAGTAATGTGTGGGAGTTCTGGTTTGTCTGTGTCTGTATCAATACTTGTTAGCTTCTGGGATTTTTGTTTGGTTTTGTTT